CAGAACTCTGATGACTGGATTAATCTTTCAACACACTTTAAGTGGTGCAAGCCTGCAGAACACTCTGAGGCAAAGTGCAGTCAGGCTTCAACGTGAAATACAAGCACGGCAGTTTGCTCAAAACAGGGTCAGTCAATTCATATGTTTAAGTTCTTCACTGACTGAATATTTCCAAATACGTTAGAATTGTCTCGAATAGTTTCCTCTATGCTCTTTTTCGTGTGCCATTCGCGGGGGGGGACGTTACAAACAGAACACTCACGAAATATCTTTTTTCAGTTCGGGACTTCAATCGCGCGCTATACTGAAGAAAGTAAAATAAAAATTCTCCCCGGCGGGGATTCGAACCCCGGTCTCCCGCGTGACAGGCGGGGATACTTACCACTATACTACCTAGGAACCCGCCAGGAAGCATCTTTTGCTACCTTCTTCGTTTAATGTGTTACTTTTGCTACTGATCATGAGCCCAGTTCCATAAATCTTAGTAAACTTGGAAGTCGATTGGAGTTGAAAAAGTGGACTTTTGCCTGGGAAAGAGAGTATTACTGTTTAAAAACGATGTCAAAATTCTACCTGACTGACCACGCTGGGTCACGTTGCAACAAAAAAAGGAACAATTTCGGCTTTCATGAAGGGGCTGAGGCGAGTTTTAAGACCAACACCTTGATTAATTTTAACCGGTAGGAGTTATCATCATCGCAAATAAAAACGTTTGGATTTTAATAATCTTCACTTTGAACTGCCACTTTGGCTGGTATCTCAGGTCTTCAGCAACACTCTAAATAAGCCATAACGGGAGCTTATCATAATGTCAAACAGCCCACATACTAAGAAAAGTACTGCCGCTGAAGTAACTTCTTCCCCTATAACGCCCCAGGTCCACTTCTTGATTAGCAGTGGTGAGATGTAGTGCGGGCGTACAAGGCAGAACTTGAGGAGATGGACAGTTATACAAGGCAACTTTTGGTACAATATGGTTTGATCCATCCTAGAGCTAATGTGTTGCGTTTGTACACACCTTGAAAGTTAGGGGGGGGGGTCCAACTGGGGTAGAAAAGTGTGTTGTCAGTGAGCATAGGTCGTTGGACCTAAAAACTGTAAGCACTAAAGAAGAGCTTCTGAAATAATAAATACAGTGGAACCGCCATTTAACGAACCCCTACATAACGAAGTCCTCAGTATAACGAAAGATTTTCAAAATTACAGTAAAAAGTATGGAACAGAACCTCAATTTAACGAAATCCTTATTATAACAAACACAATGCACAAGCCCAAATGTAAAATGTCAACGTGTGATAAGAGATGAATGACAGACAGACCAACAAGGATAAAATTTATGTGTACAGTAGTTTTAAGCAGTTTTGTTTGCCTTTTCTTGAGTTCCTAGTGCCGTAGCTATTTATAGCTCGGTACTGAAATGTTATTACAGGAAATGTTGGGTTTTGTAAATTAATTGTTAAAAATGCCTCGATATAACGAACATTTTGGGTACCCTCGGGGGTAAATCGAACCCTCGATTTAACGAACAAATCTCCCCAGTCCCTTGGCACCTCGTTAAATCGAGGTTCCACTGTAAAAGCCATTGATAACGGAGCTTTCGCATTGTGTAAATTTGGTTAGTATCTATGCATACAAGAAATTTTGGTAGTGATCTGTTTTCACGTGACCATACGCCCGTCAGTAAGTCAATGAACAGGTATGGCAACCCAAATGCAACTCGAGTTTTTTTTGGCGGGAATTCGCATAGTCACCCGCGACTTGTGAAGGAGAGACAATTAAAGAGTCAATAAAGACGAAACGGAAAGCGGAGATTGTTTCTGTGTCTGTTTTGTCTAACGTATTAAGCTTAAATTAATTGTCATGTCCACAAATTTGGAATATAGGGAAAGAGAAAGAGAGAGAAAAAGAGGCCCTCAAGTTTGAAATGAGCGGCAGTGAAAAAAAAAGGTGAAACTAGAACACGTACGACATCAATCCTCCATAAAATGTGTAACTAGGAAGTTTCTGGAAGTTTCACCACGTAGCCATCCAAAAAAATGGCAGAGAAATGTTTAAAAAAATTGCTGCAGTTGCAAAGTTGTTTTTTGCTAGTTAAACCTATTGTCGTTTTCAAGAGCCATAATAGGACAGAGAGGGAGTCTAAGGGCGTTTTTAACCAGTTTCTATGGTAGGTTTTTCGTTGAAGAAGGACAATTTATCAATTACACACCCTCCACATCGTCCCTCAGACAGCCATTTTTTTTTTTTATTTATTGACCCCACCTCGCTTTGGCGCGCTGAATTTTCCGGAAGTCAACCAGTTAACCGGAAACTGTTTCCGCACGGTCCGCATAGTTCTAAAAATAACTTTTTTGAAATTAAGATATCCCAAAGGCGTCACTGGGAGCCTCCCTCTCTGTCCTATTATGGCTCTTGTCGTTTTTCACCGTTATCGTTGCCTTCAAAGCTTAGCATTACACAATTTTATATTTTGTTTGAGCAAACTATAAAATTAATATTAACGAGAGCTTCGCTACAGTAATCTCAGTTGTAGAGGAGAACATCGAAGGAAGGAGGAGTATAGGAGAAGGATCGATGTAGCGAAGGTTCCCCTAAGGGAAGCCAATGCCACTAGTGGGATACTAAAACCTTGAAGATAGAAAAAGTCCTGTGACTGGTTATCAAGGCGCGAAACAAAGAGTCTATTGATAGCCGCTCAAGACCAAGCCTTAAACGC